AAAAAAAAAAAAAAAAAAAGTGCGCTGGCAAACTGCACATGACTCAATGTACCTCGTGACGTCGTGAAGAACGTCGGGTCAGTGAAAACGCTGGCGGAGGCGTGCGAGTGTGCGGTTCACGCCAAGGTGTGCCGAAAGTCGTGCATCGTGGAATTCGCCGAGAAGACGAGTCCGTAAGATACGATCTTGGGGCACAACTAACAAGTCCTTTCCTCTCGTGTGAAGGAGAAGGAACCCGTCGGAAAGGGCGGTCCTGAATGGCAGTGAATGCGCTTTCTCGACCTTCGTGGTTTAACAGCAGGCAGGGGCTCTTTTTGGGAATTCGAGAACAGTAACTGTTTGGCAAGGCCCTCTCTATGGACCTCTCCACACCACTGTTGCCATGTGAAAAAGACAAAAATGTGGCGGGTGCATCTGGCCATGCTCTAACGGGAAGTTCATTCTCATTTTGCGCATTTCGAGAGTGGTGTGGCTACGGCCTAACCCCATTGGAATAGATAATTCAAGGCCAGATCATTGCCCAGCGTTGTGGGAAGACATCATCACCATGCCAATGATGCCAGTGGAGATATTCTCTGATAGCAGTGGCATGAGAGTCAAAGTTGTTGTGTTTCTTGGGCGGAGAATGCACACCGCCATACCTTGTGTCCACGTTCACTTGCGAGAAACTTGACGAATTCAAGTCTGTAGATGCAGATTTGGCCAGCAGAAGACTGCTGCACTGACGCTTCTGCAACGCGGGAACAAAATAAAAGGGGTAAGAATACAGTTTGCAATTGCACTTCAGGCACCCTATCTGGCCAGAAAGCTGGGTTGTATACATTGCCCGAACTGCAATTCAAAACTGTATCTTGGCCCATAGTGCAATTATAAGTCACTTTTGCGACTCCCCTGTAGTTTCCCCAAACAAAATAAAAAGAAAGCCACACAGTCTGCAAATCCGAAAACAAACCAAGAGAGCGCGCACAAATTTCGCCGAACTTGCTCCATGGAATATATCCCCCAATGGAGTCATAGATGCCAACATGGATGAGGAACTAATTATCCAGGCAGAGTGCCAGCGATTTTTCTATTCTTTTTTTCCTGAGTTTCTTCCGCCCCCTTTCCCACACACACAGAAAAAATCAAGAACAGAAAAACACTGGTCCTGTGACTTGATATTGACGCCCTTATCGGACTATCCATATTGGCATCCGTTACTCCATCAGTGAATATATTCAGTAGAGGAAGCGAAGGTGCCAGCATTCTTTGTTGTTAGGAAGACACATGGAGCCATGTGGACACAGGCAATATCTTCCATCATGGCTGCTCTTCTCTCTCAAGACGACGCATGGAGCTGCGTGGAGGCGGGCAGTATCTACCAAGTCTGAGGCATTTGAATCCCAGTGGTGGGTCTAAGTATGGGGTAGAGGAGGGAGCGGAGGGAGCAGGGAAGTGTAAAATGCTCTTAGACGTGGCTATTCAATACCCACTTTGAATTGGTTAATGATGATTCTGTGTGCTGGGGCAGGAAGCAGTGGATGAGGTGTTGGCAGTCGTGTTCAACGATCCTCAGGGCCGCTTTCCTTTTTCTTCTCCTTTACTCCTTTTCCCTCGTGCAGGGCATCGAGGGCGACCACATTGAAACATTTTTNTCCTTTTTCTTCTCCTTTACTCCTTTTCCCTCGTGCAGGGCATCGAGGGCGACCACATTGAAACATATTTTCTCTCTCTCTCTCTCTCTCTCTCTCTCTCTCTCTCTCTCTCTCTCTCTCTCTCTCTCTCTCTCTCTCTGTATATATATATATATACTGACATTTCGTTAATTTTGGATTTTTTTTTTTTTCTGCATGCCCAAATTGAGACACAAAAGAGGCCATATGAAAGAGCATGTTCCCATGGAACTTGATGGAAGTGTAGTCGATGCTACTATTCGGGTTTGATACAAAGGGACCAGATACATGCCCTGGAGCCATGGAAGGGTATTCCGGTTTGATAAAAGGCGACCAGGTACATGCCCTGGAGTGAATTGCATCAACTGAGCTTCTGACATGCAATCATGAGGGCTGCTCAATTTCTTCGGCACCTTCAACTTCAAGATGTTTCAAAAGTGCATGCGAATGTTCTTGATCTGGTGGTGGCAGTCGTTCTGCCAAGCAATATTCAGATTGCGCAGGTGAGGACCCGACACTGCACAGTCATCCGTCACAACCGTCCTGATCTGCAACCCCTTAGCAAGCAAGCCTCGCAGCAGGCGCACAACAGCTGGCACCTCAAGCTGATTGGACGCTTTGCCCTCCGTTTTTGGACGAAGACTATGGACACCCAACACAAGGCGAGTCTCACACTCGATGGCTGTCACGCTGCAGTGCTGCGCGGACCTTGCCGAGTCGTACCGGTCATCGATCATCAGAGTGTCAGGCTCTCCTCTTCGCATGACCGTCTGTATGGCCAACTCGCAAATCGGACACGTTGCCTGCAAACCTTTGAATTCCACCCCTCCTGCACATCGGACTCGCTGCGCATAAACTTGTGGAAAGTGGGATTATGCATAGAGGACATGCCCAAAGCAACGCAAAAGTTATCGAGCAAGGTGTACGTCAAACCCGTGGCAACCGTTGCGTGATACATCTGTTGCTGCAATCGACATGAATACACATTATTCCCAACAAGCGTTGAGTGCCACGTCCATTTGCAACGGCTTTTGCAAACAAGCCCCAACCGGCACAACTGGCCAGGATACGTGATGGAAACAACCTCCACGCAACAAGCATCTCCATGCCAAGGGCAGCACAAACGAAACAACCCGAGCAGCTGAATCAACTTCGGCGGCTCCAGGAACACGACGTCTGGTTTATCTGCCCCACTCCACAACCCCATCGTATCCAAAACAATGTCACGATCCGGGCCAGGACCACACTGGTCAGCACCGTCCCCGCAATCAGACCACACCTGCCCACGCGGCGGCGTGGAAGCAACGTGACTCGCACTACGCGGCCGACCACGTTCCCTGCTGTTGCGCTGCGAACCACAGTCCGATCTCGAGAAAGAGCTCTGTGAACCGTCAAATGATCCCCCAAACGCGCAACGGTCTGAAGTGGAATCAACCCCGGCATCGATGCCACCTCCTGATTCGGTCACGACATCTCCCAGACGGAAATGCAGGTCACACACACGTGCAGGCAATGTTGCTGAAAGAGCGTCTGCAACGGCCTCGCCGTACTCTTTCTTTATAGACGGCAAAGACCAATGCATCAAACGATCGATGGCGTCGGTGATGGGTCCACGTGCACCGCTGACAGTAGACATGGCATCACGCACCCTGCGAAGTCTGTCACGAGTACTCGGTTTGACGCACAGTCGCATGACATCCGCCGAGGCAGAAGACCGCTCACCACCATCGTCGTCTCCACGACCGACGTCGTCCGACCAATCATGAGCGGCACGTGAGGAAGAACGAGAACGCGAAGGCGAGCGTTGTCGAGTTGTGGCCGGACGTACGAATCCACCATGGGAAGCCTCCACATGGGCAACATCGTGAAGGATTCCCCCTGAAGCGGCAACATCGGAATAATGTGTTTGGCCAGGGGGATGTGTCCAGAGCGGAGTCAAAGGGATGCTGAATCCTTAGTCCAACCGTCTGGCCGCAGAGGGGATGGTAGCAACGGAGCGCTAAGCACACCATCATGTGTGACTGCCTCCGGAACACGTAACGAACCTCGCAGAGAGCAGCCCAACAATCCAGGCAACGAAGTACACTCCGCCAGCCCCCCCGGTGACACACGGAGAGCAGTCGGCGAACCTTCGACACGGGGGCTTCTCCCCAAACGTCGTCCATCACTCGTGATGTAAGGTGACCCTCCCAACGCGACATGTTCGGCAGCAGCACAATGAACATCTTGGTTGCATCCGGAAGGTGTGGATTCAGGAGAAGGCAAGGATGCCCTGGAGCATCCCCGACATTGCAAATGAATTGGGTCTGCACGAAAAGAAGCGACGGAATCGCGACGTATGAGGAATGTGACATGTCTGGACGATGGATTGAATGATTGGTTTAATAACTGACAGATTGATTGACTGTCTAACAGGATGATTGACGATATGATTGATTCATTGCCTGATAGACTAATTGACTGATTGATTGAGTGATTCATTCAATTTGATTGATTGATTGGATGACTGAGGGTGGGTGATTGATTGATCGACTGGTTGATTGATTATATGAATGAGTGATTGATTGAATGATTGACTGACTGACTGACTTATGGATTGATTGCCAGACACATTGAATGATTAACTCATTGACAGACTGATTGACTGATTGATTGACTGATCGACTAATTGGTTGATTGATTGATTGATTGATTGACCGATTCATAAATAGATTGATGGATTGATAAAATGTTTGCCTGAAAGACTGAATGATTGATTGAATATAATGTATGATTGGTTGATAGAATTGACCAACCGATTGGCTGATTGATTGATAGAATGTCCGACCGATAGATTGACCGATTGATTGATATAATGTCTCACTGATTGATTGAGTGATTGAATGATTAAATGACTGATTGATTGATAAAATGTCCCATCGATTGATTAGTTGAATGACTCACTGATTGATTGAATGTATGATAGAATGATTGACGGTTTGATCGATTAATTGAATGATAGATTGATTGACAGATTGATTGAGTGATTGAATGATTGATCGATTGAACGGTTGGCTGATTGAGCGATTGAATGATCGACTGGTTGATTGATGGTGTGATTGACTGACTAGTATTTGATTGATTGACTGACTGACTGACATACTGATTGATTGAGTGACTGACAGACACATTCACTGTTCAGTTTTCTGATGAGTAATTGGTTGATTGATTGATGGAATGTCTGATTGATTGAATGGTTGAATGACTCACTGATTGATTGAATGTATGATAGAATGATTGAATGTTTGATCGATTGATTGAATGATAGATTGATTGACTGATGATTGATTGTCAATGAGTGATTGATTGATTGAGTGATTAATTGATTGGTTGATAGACTGATGCATTGATTGATCGATCGATAGATTGAATGATTGTTTGATGTACACAAAGAATCAATGAATCAATCAATTCGTCCAGCAATCAATCAATCTATCAACCAATCAAGCAATCAAGCAATCGAGCAATCAATCAAACAATCAATCAATAAATCAATTAACAAATCAATCAATGAACCAATCAATCAATCAACAAATCAATCAATAAGTCAATCAATAAATCAATAAATCAATAAATCACTCATTCAATCAATCAATTAGTCAGTTAATAATTGAGTGAGTCAGTCAATCAGTCAATCAATCGATCAGTCAATCAATCAATCAGTCAATCAATCAGTCAGTCTCACACACACTCACACACACACACACACACACACACACACACACACACACACACACACACCCCACACGCACACGCACACACACAGTCACAAAAGAAAGAAAAAATGTTGTCATTTTGTGCACGCGACAATCATTTTAGTTGGGTTTCAAATTTTATTGTTTTGTTCCTTGAAGTATCCATCGTCGTAAGTGGAGAGAGAAAGAGAAAGAGAGAGAGAGAGATAGAGAGAGAGAGAGAGAGAGAGAGAGAGAGAGAGAGAAAGTGGGGCAGGACAGCGAGAAGCAGGGGTAGTGGGAGCGGCCCACGTCAGGATAGCGGGAAAGCGAGAAAGCGGGATAGCAGGATGAGGGATAGCGGGACATCCTGCTGTCCCGGTCCCTCGCTTTCCCCCAACCCCCCATTACAGCCCTGCCACTTCCGCCATCCCTGGTTAAGGGACACACACACACACACACAAACACACACACACACACACACACACACACACACACGCACACACACACACAAATATACTCTAGCCAACGTCCATACACTCGCACACATACAGTAATAAGCACACACAAGCACACAAGCTAAAAACACACACACACACACACCCTCTCAAAAAGTTTTTTTTCATAAGGTTTTAATTAAAAAAATAAAATTAATTAAGTAAAGAATTTAAAATTTAAAATAAATAAAATAATACTAGTAATAAAAACAAATACAACATATTATAAAAATATTTTTATTAAAAAAAAAAAAAAAAATATATATATATATATATATATATATATATATATATATATATATAAATATAAAAAAAAAAAAAAAAAAAATGTAAAAAAAAAAAAAAAAAAAAAAAAAACCGTAGGCAGAGAGAGAGAGAAGAGGACAGCAAACGCGGGGCTGTGACAAACTGTTTCGTCTGAGTTTCACCGACTATATATATATATATATAGGTATTAAAAATTAAAAAATGAATAAGAGTATAATCAAAACTAAAACAAAAAATAATATTAAAAAATAAGTAATAAAAACCAAGCATGACACTATACATAAACAAATTCGTAATTAATAAAGTAAAAAATAAAAATTGAAAAAAATATATATATATAAAAATAAAAATGTGTTTAAAAAAAAAAAAAAAGTAATAATTACAAAATAATAATTCAAAATACAAAAATACAAAAAAAAAAGAAGAAAAAAAATAAATAAATAAATAAATAAAACTACAAAAGTAAATAAAAAACCACAATCTAGAAACATAATGCAATAGCAGGCAACGAAGACACACATCGGAAGGGGAAGCCTTCAACAAACAACCACCATCACACACACACCCAAGCAAACCAAACTTCCCTTAAAAAACACCAGCGGCACCCAAGTTAAAAAAGTTATGGGTCCCCCACCAACCACCGAAAAAACAAAAGCACAAAACGCTCCCCCGGGCCACACAAGTCGACCTCCGCGACCCACGAACCACCACATTAAAAAAGTATACGGACTGCCACATAGGAACTGAACTCCCGCCAAAACGAAAAGACACACAGAGCGTAGTAAGTAACCCATACGACAGCACCCTGCAACTAAAATTCAAAAAAGACCTCACACGAAAGCTCCAACTGAGCGAACAGACACAACAAAAACGACACCCGCCTCCCTAAAGAACGACGCAAAAAAACCCTTCAACAGTGAGACATCCCTACCCACCATACTTCAGCAAACGAAAAATTGTCGACTACTTACGAAACAGACAAAGCACGCCATATCCCGCCATAACCCGCAACGCTACCTCACAAAAAAATGTGCAAAGCAGACATGGAAAGAACTCTCCCGCTCGCGCCCTCTGCACCCTGCACAACACGCAGACCCCATACTACGTTGCAGTTACCTATGCTTAACCATTACAAACACACACAACCCCCGCACATAGAAGATGGCTTCACAAAAAAAACCATTGGCTCCAACACTCACTCACATTCACGCATATGGCACACTACAACCCTTTGTACACAATGACACACATCTCATACATAACTGGCAATGCATACACTTGCTCCCGTACCACGCAACGAGCGCATTTCCGCGAGCTCAACACCATGCTGCGAACACTTCCTCCCAACCCCCACGCAATCACAAGCATCCGCCTCCTTTCTAAGAAGTTGAGCATCTCCTCTAGCTCGCAAATACGACTGTGTGCACACACTAGTCCTGACCAAGGACTACCAGGCTCCTAGCACACGACTGCAATCCGTGTGAGCCGATTCAGGCGGGAGCTACCGGAGATATGGCTGCTGGCGAAGAGGCATCTTCTTCACCAACCTTCCGTCTTCACGTACGTCCCTAATCACCCTCCCTGTGATGGATACTGTCGTATTTGCTAACATAACTCTGCTAACCACTAACGGGAGCCAGAGGATGTCCCTCTGATGAGCTGCTATGGGTGCTAGGCAGCGAAAAGCGCACTTCAGGGCGTGCACCCCCCCTATAGCGGTTGTCTCAACTGCCATCTCTAACTCTAACTACTAACTCTAACCAATGATTATCTGCTCCCCCCCTGACATTTCCTGCATTCCTACATCCTCTAAAAAGAGTTGATGGTTACTAAATCCATGCTTAAACTGCTACTAAATTGCGTTGCGATATGACTGAGATGTATGATCTTGTTTCCCGTTAATACGGGATGGCCGTGTTTTACGCACACCCCCCCCCCCACATACCCGGATAAAATCTATCCAGTCGCTAAGCTAGGGTCGACTCCCTAGTTGACAAGATCTCCTACGTCGTTGCCACATCTGCAATCCGTAACTATTCGCAGTTTTGCATGCTAAACCGCCCTTCCTCCCTCCACCCCTCCCTTCTTCCTCTTCCCCCAACCCCCAATCTGCTCTCGCCATCACATAGCAGCACCCCCGTGCTACGCTCCACACACGCAGACACAGATCGTAAACATACACGCACGCCTATAGAACATACACCATAGCTATGGGATTGAGACATTGCTGACACTGCTGCTAGGCAAACTCGCCATTCCCTGCGCCTCCGCAAGCACCTACAATCGATCGCTTCCGGTGCGATCTCTCATGAAAAGTATTACTAGCTGCTGATCCGTAAAAACAGGAACTCGCTTCCGAAAAAAATGACTGACCATGCATTCGATCTACATCACAACCTGA